CTTCCATAAACGGTTAGAGAGCTACATAAATGCTTCACAAATGCAGAAGAATGCGGGGATAAACTGAGGTGGCTGACTATTGGAAGGTGGATTCCAGCCAGGAGAGCAACATGTTTCTTATTGGTACCTGGGGGCCGGAAGCTTGGAGCAGACCAAGGAAAGGGCACCACATCTGCCATTCCCTCCCGTTCCCCCGTGCTGTGCATCAGCTTGTACCCAGTGTTCCTTCTAAGCTGAGTTAGTGTGAGCTAGCTCACAGTTTTTTAGCCTCCGCTCACACATTTTTGTCTCAGCTCAGGAAGGATGGCTCCAGAGCAAACTGATTTATGCAGTAGCCAAATCGCTCGCTCACAACTTCAATGCCAGTAGCTCACAAAGTAGAATTTTTTGCTCACAAGACTCCACAGCTTAGAAGCAGCATTACTTGTACCCAAGTAGAATTACAGCTTTGAATGTTCCTTCGCATAGCAATCAATGCAAGTAGACAACTACAAGAGGGGGGAAAGCTTTTATTCCTTATTTCCTTACGTGCAAGGAGTTCTTTACATAGGTGAGCATTCCAAAATATCACCCTCCATCTGCATACAGCCCATTCTCCTCCCAAGTGAGCGAACCAATTCTTAGTCCACTACTTAGAATACTATATTGTAAATTACACTGGAAACGAAGTAAAGCACTGGGGGGGGGGGGGGAGACCACAGGAATGCAATAGTTTGGAAAGAACGTCGCCAGGATTCTCAGGAATGAATTAGTAGATCTGTCACCTGTTTCTTATTTCAGGCAACCTCTTCTTATTCGTTTTGGAAACACAAGGTGGGAAAGATGCACTACAACAACTCAAAACAACTTTAATATAGTCCACTACAGGACAGGAGGACATCTTAATCCAGCACAGGCTAACGTCCCCACACACGAAATATGTCGTTTTCTCACAGTCTCGCCATGTGTTCGGCATTACAGAGCTGTTCAGGGGGCAGCTCCACACGCCAGCGAGAGAGAAGCGCTTCCGTACCCGGGGCAAACAGACTCCTGTAAGCGGCTCTGGGACTAGGCGAGCAAGGCACTGCCACTCCCGGGAGCCTTTGCGGCGCAGCGACAGCCTCTAGTCGCTAGACAACGGCGGCCAAGCGCTTCCATAGAGATTATTATGCAGCGCTACAGCCGCTTGTGTAGCCGGCTGCGTCGCTTAATCTCGCGAGAGCTCTGCAAGATGGAGGAAGGGGATGGCTGCGGCGACAGCCTTTTCTCACTGGAGTTGCTGGTGGAAACGGCGCGCGTGGAGCCGCGGCTGATCCCGTCGCCTTTGCCCGCCAGCGGCCCCTTCCGCCCAGCGGTGGCGCTTCGGCTCCTGGACTTCCCCACCCTGCTAGTCCGCGCCCCCCATTGCGTGCCGGGGCCCCTGGTGCCCTTCGGGAGGGGCAAGTCCTGCCTCTTCCGGCTGCAGCCCGCTTCCCTGAGGGGCCTCCTGAGGCGTTCCCCTCTTCACGCGCTCCTGCTGGCGCTCCCCCCGACGGCGGGTCCCGCCCGGTTGCTGGGCTCGTGCAGCGTCTCCCTGGCGTCCGCCGCCGAAGAGTTGCTGCTGGGGACCGGCCCAGGGGGGCGAAGAGGCCGCTTCCCGCTGCGGGACCTGATGGGGGAGCCAGTGGGAGAGCTGGGGCTGAGCTACCGCCTTAGCAACTTGGGGTCGACCCTGCTGGGACACTTGGGGGAAAGCTCTGCTTTGGGAGAGCCCCATAGGGAGGAGGAAGAGCCGCAGCGGCCACCAGGGTCTCCCACCCCTCTGGGCACCCAAAGTGAGAGGGGGCTCAGCCTGGAGCTCATTCCAGAGGTAGAAGAGGACCAAGACCCTGAACGTGGCAGCTTGCATTCTTTCTGTAGCTCCCACACAGAGCCACAGCCCAGTGACCTCGTCAGAGAACTGGAGACTGAGGCCAATGTCTTCTGTCCCCCACCAATGTACTACAACTGCCCAGCTGAAGATTGCTGCCCTGCACCTAAAGCCTCTGAGCCTGTGACGGTTGCTAAATCTCAGGGATCTGTTCAGAGAGAGGAAAATACACTACCGTCTGCAGTCCCTGTTAAAGAGGAGCCTTCTGGAGGTGGCCAAGACATGTCTCCCTCAGCCCAGACCTTGATTAACCCTCTGCAGCTCAGACAAACCTTGAGTCAGCTACCTCTGCTGAATGCAGTTCTGAACAACCAAACCCCGCAATCAGGGACATCCTCTGTGCACCCAAAATTAGCGTGGCTATACCATAATGTAGGAGAAAGCCCCAACCCCCCACCCGCACATGTCAAAAGTGTAAGTCCCCCTCGAGAGGATAAGAAAACTCATCGCAAAGAGAGAGGAAGGTCCCCTACCCTCATGTTAAGAAGAAGTCGCCCAGAGAATTTAAGATTTCTCTCTCCCTCCTTCCAGCGAACCTGGACTGGATTTAAAGCCTCAGTCTATGAAAGAAAGGGCAGTCCTGAGAAGAACAGCAAGGAAAACTCCCCCCCAAGAAGGAAGCTTACTTATGGGATGACGAATACCCTCAGACTTCGGTTGCAGCAGTCCAATCCAGGCATGTTGAAAGTACACGAAAAAAGAGAACATCGTAGGAAAAAACAAGCAAATGTATTCATAAGAGGAAACACTTCCTTAGCCGATAGTAAAATGCTCCGATATTCTCCTGAGTGTCATCCAAAGCCTTTTGGCTCTGCACGTTCTGAAGAAAGAGGCATTTCAGACCAAAATGTTCAATTTAATGAAAATATTGAGACATTAATACAACGTAGTGTTGAACAAGATAGCTCTACTGCCAGAAAAGAACTAACTTCTGATGTCCAAAACAATGTTACAGGTTGTCATGTGAAGAGTCGTGAAAATTTAAAGGAAAGATGCCAATTTAAAAAGATGGGCTCTGGTTATAAAAGGAGGCGGTTGAAAGTGCATCTGCCTAGAGTCTCTTTACAGGATACGGATGGTTTAGAAAATATAATAGATACAGAAGCAGAAAAATGTGCACAGGACAAGGATTGTGAGATTCCAGCGCTACAAAATGCTAGCCGAAATAACGTTGAAAGCCGCCATGAATGTGAGAATTCAGATGATATCAGTGCTAACTGTGAGAATGGAGGCTATTCAGAAGATTTTACCAATGCTGATAGTTCCAGCTTTGAAACTCCACTGAGCAGTTTTGAACCTTTACTAGTAAACCCAAAACCAAGCAATTCTGACACGGATTCATATTCTAAAATAAGTGAAAGAAGTCAGGCTTCTGAAAGTATTTCCTCTCTTCTTCCAGTACATTCAGCAGTATCTCCTGTCCAGTCTCTTAAAAAGACCTATTCTTTAAAATCTAATGATGAAAATGTTGATCAGTACAAATATAATGATTCTTCTCCTACAAGAAGCTTAAAGGGAAAACTTTTAGATCAACAGGTCAAAAAGCAAGAGAACAAAGATTTGCAGAATTTTGAGAACAAACCAGAAAGCTTTGACTTGAACAGCACGGGAACAAAAGGCCAGTCTGTAGAAAAGAGCCTCTCACTAAGGACATCGCAAGTTAGCTCTTACATGCCCTCAAACGTGTCTGATCTTAGTGAGTTAGAAAGCAATGCATCTTATAAAGAAGATCAAGTTGACTTTGAGATGCCAGACATTGCTAATCAGTATAAACATGTCAGTGAACTAGTAGTAAACAAACTTCCAGGATACACAATGTAATTACCAATAATAATAACTGATCAAAGTTTAAATGTCTTTATTTTTATAAACAAACATTTTTGTAATATTTTGAGTGTTTTTTACATTAGCCTTAGTTGAAAAGAATTGCTATGAATTGGGTAACAAGTAGGCTGCTTTTTATGTGCTGCTGAATTTTGTACATTTTCCACAAAAATAATCTGTAAACCTTTAGAAGGTTAAAAAAGAATGCTATGCCTTTGGTATAATTGGCACACTGAGAAGTGAACAATTATATTTACACAAACTGAACTGTGTAGAACAAGCTCAGAAATTTTATCTTTTGAATGCATAATATAAACCGTGTAGCCTTTAAGTAAAATACAGTGATGAAAACAATGCTTAACAGAAGGCTGTTAAGAGAAGAAAAATAGTTTGTGTAATTTTAATCTAAATAGTAAGCATCAAATGGTACATCAGGAGAAATTATCAAAGTATTATCTGTAAATTAAAAAAAATTCAATTGAATATACATTTTAAAAGTCCATGTGTTCCTGTTCATCTAATCATAAATAGAAATTTGTGCCTTCTGAAAGTATTTTTAAAAACCAGTCTTTTATTGTTGGTTTTACATGTGTAGCAGCTGCCCCCTTAATTTTATACCTTTGAATTGTTTAATAATAATAATTTGCTGTTATGATGATGAAAGAACCACTACATAGTTATATAATTTCAAATAGTACTGCAGGAAGGAGCATAGGTCTACTTAATGTGGCCCGCTGAGCATGTGTAGCTGCAAGAAAAGGTTTGCCAGTGGTCATTTACACTGACTTCCATGCTTGATGGTGTGTATAGCCACGTGCCGCTACAAACTCCTAACAGGACTGCACTGACATGAGGAGGCAATAGAGGCTGTGACTTGGGGCTAGATGTCAAGATGGTTAAGGCTTTTTCTATAGCTGCCATATGTCTAGATGGGCTGTGTAAGACTATATTTTCATTATTAGCCCATAAGCAGAAATGTATAACTTAGAAAATAAGAAAGAAATGCACTGTTAACATTTATCATACAGTAGCATAAGATAAATCAATGATACAATGAGCCAATAAGCCTGATACAGTTCTGCAGATCAGACCTCTGAGAAAGCAACAAAACTGAGTTCACAGAGATGGTAAAGCAAGTGTGTTTTATTACCATGAACTGGCAGGTCTTTTCTTTTGATGGAGGCATGCCAGAATAGAAAATTCTGTCTGGATACTGTTCACATGTGGATGCTTGTAGATTCTTAACATTTCAAGAATGCAAACGCTGTTCTGATTTTCCATGTGCAACTGAAGGACCAGCTATAAATGTTGTCCATTACTATGGCTGAATGTACCATAGGTCTACCATGCATAGATAAGGACTGCTTTGAGAACAAAAAGGTGAAATTTCATTAAGGCAAATATGCAAAGATAGCACATCTGCTAGAAAAGCTGAATTTGCTAATGCAAAATGTGGGACGATCTGTTAAGTATTTGCTCTGCTGAGGGAAGTGATTTTAACACATCAGTGCTCAATGTGAGTCAGCGTTTGTGATGTTGCTATAAAAAGGTGAAAGTTATTTTAATTTTCATTAGCATAACCTGTCTATTCAAGTAGCAGTGTTATGTAGTACTAGGGAAGTTTATTTTTGTGCTCTTGGGTTCTCTTAAAATTATTCTAAACCAGATTTATAAAGAAGAAGCAAAGATAATTAAGGGAGTATATACATTTAGGGTAAAAAAGGTTATATAACTGCAGGCAGGTGTGGTTATTTGTAGTTGTCGTTATATAGCCCCTAGTTCCCGAGGTGTTTGTAAGTGATAATATTTTAAAAGGATACATGAAATGTGGAATAAGAGAAGTACTGAACTGCAGGAAGGCAGATTTCATCAAGGGAAGAAGCAGAGACCATCCCCATTTGTGTGAATAACTGAGCATGCTCTAGCACAAGGAGTCTGAAACCATATGCATAGGGCTGGAACACCTATTTGATCCTGTCAAGGGTAATTTATCCAGAACAGAGACACCTCAAGTGGCAGTGCTGACTCTTCCTACATATTCTCAGGAATTAAAAGAACAAGTGCAATCTTAGGTCATCCCAGCAATCTGCGCTGACCATCCCTTTTTTTCCTAGGCAGGGTGTCTGGTGCTGGAGAGAGACTGGGCTCTTCTTGAAGCCTCATCTCCTCCCCATCATGGAACAGGCTCTCTAAAGTAATAAATCACAATCCCTTTGGCCTTTATAAATTTTTGTAGAATCTGCCTAGTTCAGGAAAAAAAACAGTTGATGGAAGATGATAAATGGCCAGCAAGATGTTTATTTGACCGATAAAGTCAGTAAACTGCTGTGGAAAGATGCTGTTAGTTTTATTATAAGGTCTCTTTAGTTTTATTTTTTATTATTTATATATTGACATTCATTTTGTTTTTCATTCATGTAGGTTTTTTTGGGGGGGATTGGAAGATTAACATTGATAATCCATAAAAATTTCCAGTTGGCTTTCAGTATGAGTGGGGAGGGAGAATAGTAGTTTTGGAATTTTCAGGGAAATTGCTTCCATCTTCGCTATCAGTTGTCCTGCTTCCTTTGTGAAATTTGCCTCTCAGTTTGAGAAAGCTAACCATAGGGAAGTTGCGGGCTTCCATGTGTTACCATATTTACTGAAAAGGCTACCATGAATGTGAGATAGCTCCACCTAAAAATGTTACACACCCAATTTTTTTTACTGTACTTAACTGTAACTTGTATACCAATATAAGACAATCACTTCTTTTCATGTTATTCCTGGAGAAAAACCTGTCTTGTATCAGAGGAAACACTATAGATATTTTGGGGGAGACCATTGTTTGCATTCATTGTTTAAGGCTTCTGTCTTATTTAGACACTTATGAAGATTTCTGCACATAGATTAAGGTATTTCACATTTTCAGTTTATGCTTCACTGCAGAATGGGTCTGAAATTACCCTTTTCACTAAGAAGAATCTGGGAATCCAAGTGCAAGGTAGAGTTAAATTTAGGTATCCAACTTTATACCAGACCTTAGTATATAGAATCTAGCTTCAGAGCAACACATTGGATTTAGGTAAGTTCTGAGATTCCCCTCTGCCTTGTCATGTGAAAGTTTAATGTTGTTTATTTTTTGTTGTATGTCAAGATGTCCACAAAGTTGGTCAGAACTTTTTGTATGCTGAGATTTTTCACAGGGAGTTCGTATCAGCTGTTCAAATAATCTGCTCTTGAACATATTTCATGTTATTAACAAATTTGTTATTTTGTTGTATGTCAAGATGTCCACAAAGTTGGTCAGAACTTTTTGTATGCTGAGATTTTTCACATAGTATAGTTTTATAAAGTCAGCTGTTCAAATAATCTGCTCTTGAACATATTTCATGTTATTAACAGATTTGTTATTTTATAAGATTTTATTGATCTATGGTTTGCATTCTTAGGTAAAATCCAGTGTACTAAACTATACTATGTGAAAGTTTAATGTTGTTTATTTTAATGTTGTTTAGTTTAATGTTGTTTATTTTTTGTTGTATGTCAAGATGTCCACAAAGTTGGTCAGAACTTTTTGTATGCTGAGATTTTTCACATAGTATAGTTTTATAAAGTCAGCTGTTCAAATAATCTGCTCTTGAACATATTTCATGTTATTAACAGATTTGTTATTTTATAAGATTTTATTGATCTATGGTTTGCATTCTTAGGTAAAATCCAGTGTACTATTACTCTTTTTAAAAATACTTTATTTATTCAGTTTTATTAAACAGCCAGTAAGCACTTTTATATAATCATTGTCATTTTTTGGAGTCTTACATACAATGTTTTCCCCCCCACCAATTACATACTCTTATCCACCTTTTTCGGAATATTATCTCATCTTTACCGCGTAATAACATAGTTTATGCAATTCAGCTATCTCCAGTAGTTTCTTAACTATATCTAATCTAGAGGGTAATTTATCTGATTTCCAACATCGGACTACCATAATTATTGATGAAGTTAAAATATATGTTAATAAATATCTGTCTTCTCTATCTAGGGTGTCTGGAATTATATTTAACAAGTATATTTCTGGTACCAAATCCACATTAATATTAATCATTTCTAATATAATCTTGTTTTATACTTTTCCAAAACTTTTGCATCCTACAACATTTCCACCACATGTGAAAAAACGTTCCTATATTATTCTTACATTTCCAGAAATCTTTTGAAGTTTGAGGTATCTGGCGAAACATCTTATATAAATTTTCTTTATATGCTGTTAAACTGAGATATAGACTTCCATATTTTGGCCCAGTCGTCATTATTTATCATATAGCCCATATCTTTCATCCATGCTACCATTGAGGGTGTAACCATCTCATCTTGCAAATATAATTCTATCAGAAAGGTATATACTTTTTGTATTAACTTATCACTGGTTGACAACCAAATTTTATCTAGTTCATTGTTTCCCATATAGAACCCCGTAGTTTTATCTTTGCTGTATATAGATTTAAGTTGTGTACTTTCCCAACATGTTAAGTGTTTCATTGCTATGTCCAAGTTTTTAATCTTGTCGTTTTTATCTAGTATATTTTCATATGTTTCTAGTCTTTAGTCAGAAGGGTTGGTTTTATGAATGCTTCAAGTGGGGAAACCCACCATGGTATTTTCTTATAATATTTTTCTTTCAGGTTCCGCCAATATTTTATCAGAGATCCCCTAATTATATGTTGATGGAAATTTGAATGAACTTTATCTTTGTCATACCAAATATAGGCATGCCAGCCCATTTTTAAGATCATATCCTTTGGTGTTTTTTGTTTTTCTGTCCTTTCATTTCTTTGTTGATATCTGGTGTACTATTACTCTTGAATATGTTTTCATTTGGATAAATTCCAAATTTCTGGCTGTTTTCCTAGATTTAAAATATACTAGCAATGACAGAAAGCTTTAGAACTCTGATTTTATCTTTTATAATATGTATTTTTTCATGTTATTGTACTAGACTTGTTTCACTCAAT